ATGGCAGTGCCATTCCCAAGGTTGCACCAAGCCTCCCACCTCGCAGTGGTATCAAGATGTCCCCAAACCCAGCTCTCCGACCACCTCAGTCCTGGGTCCTGTCTCCCAACAGTGCTACAGGTCCTCACAGCCCAGCTGCAAAGCCACAGCCCCTACTCTCCTCCTGGCACAATGACCCTGGGGACAAGGGACACAGAACAGGGTGCTGTGAACACTGTGCATCAGGGCTCGCTTCGGAGGGAGGGCTAGAGAGCACCCACCCTACAGGCAAAGTGGTTATTGCTGATGCCCATACAGGTGCTGAGGATACAGGAGAGGGAAGAAAGCGAGAGCCCAGCTAGGAGAAATACCGAACTCTAAGGGAATAATACGGAGATAAGGGATATACAGTGCATGCACCCCAATGGCTCTAAGGGAAAGCACGTAGAGGAGGCCAGGCTGTGCCACTCTGGAAATATGGCTGAGTATATTTACACACACATACGCACACATGAGAGACTTCCTCACACTATAATCATGATAAAAAAATGGAAAAAAACCCCAACACATTCACACAAAAAATATAAATTTGAAATAATTAATAGCACCAGTGTGTGTCAGATAATAATTTCTTCCCCGCTACGCAAATGTACGAAGTTGCATAGTGTTTAAGGATAGATATATACTGGATCTCAAGGAAGTGGGGGGAGGGATGCCAGGCTGGAGGCAAGGAGGAAGCCACAGAGGATGCTCTCATCTGAGAGGAGAGCTAGAGGAGGAGCAAGGGGCTCCCTGCCGCTCCCACCCAGCACCAGTAAGCAGCTGGGAGGCACTACCTGGGGAGGGAGCCTGCCAGGGAGGCAGTGGCAGCCGTGTGAAATGCAGACCTGCCACCCAAGCCTGGCCTGAAGTCCCTGTGCTGTGGTGGCTTTATGGGGACCAGGAGATCGGTAGACAAGAAGAAAGGAGGGCAGCGGTAAACTCCAGCTCTTTCTGCCAGCTTAAAAACAAGCAAAAGGCAAGAGCAATGCCAGGAGATACAAAAATGCCACTGTCCTTCAGGAAAAAGATGGGGAGAAAGACGTTCTCATTTCCACTTGCACGCCCCCTTCCTTCCCCACCCAAAGACATTCAGTGTGAAGGCTGGTGCAGCTGTCCAAGCTCTCTGGATGGCAGCTCTCCTCTTCAGCAAGACTCTTCCTGATTGAAAAAACTAATCTGCCAATTAGACATTCGTAGCCTAAAAAAAACAGACCCTCTGGCAATTCAGTAGCAACACCTACAGATGGGAACACAGCTCATGACTTCCACACTCCTCAACCTGGACTACACAGCAGGTAGCTGCTTACAGACCAGACCTAGAACTTCTTCACAGATCAGGAGCAGGGCTGGCAAGGTCTACCACTCCACCAGCAAAGATCTACCACTCCAGTATCCCATCTTCCCAAAGAGATCCTCTCGGAGGCTGTGTTCTTCTCAGAGCGATGCATCATCACAGAAAGCATTTCAGAAAGAGGCTTCAGCTATTTTGTCAAAGGCTACCAACGTTGTCAGATTGGCCACTAGTTAACAATAAAAAAAAAAATTAATTCACAGGGTTAGAAGTTGGGAAGAGGGATCTGAATGAGTGCAGCTATACTGGCCATTACAGTAATACTTTGGTAGCCATCCCCTTCCTTCATAGGGACAGAGCTCTGGGACTGAGGATTTTACAGTTGAGGTGAGAAGAGAGGAGAGAAAGTAGGGTTAGTTTTGCCTTTCTGTATACAGCTCACATGGTTATTTCTGAACCATGGTATAAAGAGTCCAGAGCATCTCTCATCCTTGTGCTAATCAAAGGGAAACTGTGTCTGAGAAAGGGGGCAAAGGCAGAGTGCTCAGGAAGACAATTTATATAAAAAAAACCCTTTGATGCCCAAAGACGGATATTTAATTTGCTTCTCTTAAAAAACAAAACAAAACAAAAAACCTTTCAACTTATCCTGATTTGAAAAGAAAACAGTGGCTGCGAGCAGCAAAGAGTTGGGGATTTGAAGAAGGTAATGTGTGTTAAGGCACTCCATAGCCAAACCACCGCTCCACTGCTCACTGGGGGAATACCCCCCACCCCCAGTGCACCCTTAGGGTTTCTCAATGGACGGGGTGTTAAAACAGCCAGACGGCAAGGTCTTCTTGATGTCTTCCAGGTTGCTAATGTCCTTCAGGATCTCTTCAATGTCCCTGTTGTAGGCCTGTATTGCATCATCTTGCTTCCTGGCTTCTCTCTCAAGGAAAGACACTTTCTGGTCCAGGTCACTATCTTTCATCTGGTCTTTGGCACTGTTCAGGGTACCCTCAATTTCATTCAGTTTGTTCAAGTCCACTGTCTCCAGCTGCCCTGAAAAGCCAGAAGCAAATAAAAAAAAAAAACAAAAAACTTTGACGCACTGGTTTTGGGAGCTTACACAGCTGAGCCCATACCAAGACCTGCATCAGGCCATCTCTGCATTAGAAACAGCATTTAAGACAGGACCAACCAAACGGGTTACACCTTCAATGCCTCAAAAACGGTCCTCAGCTTGCAGAAAAGCGGTACTGAACATCACACAACAAGCTTCGAGGAAAGAAAAAAACCAAAGTCCTTGCTGAAAACATGCAAACTGCATTTCTAGAAGCCAAGAGACCCACCTGATTCCTTGCAGAGCACCGACAGGGAAGCCAGCACACCACAGCAGCTGCTGGCACTGCCACATCAGGAAAACACTCAAAAGGCATATGGCACATTAAGTACAGTCTTACCTAATTGATCCAGCAGGCCATTAATGACAGCAAGCAAGCTGTTCACAGAGTTCTTTGCTTTTCTTGCATTGTCTTCTGCCTCCTGGGCAGCCTGTGAGGCCTGCAGGGTACGAAAAATGAAAACACAGAAAAGGCTGTAGGGATTGTGAAACTGTTGCCTCTTCTCTTCACAGCTCTGCCCAAGCAGTTAGTCACACACATCCCTGGCTCCTCTCTCCAGGGTAACACTCCTGCACAGAGATCTTTATCACAATGCTGGTGAAGACTGACAACCTTCACATAACCAGTTTTCTAACTATTTCAAGATGGGGATCCCTCATAACTAAGCAGGATTTTGCAGGAGAAGTCAGAACAGAGTCAATAGGGCTGCAGTCAGATTTCAGTTAAAATGAAAGTGTTGCATTAAGAAAACTGGCTCTCAAATTCCAGCAGGGAACCTATGCTAATGCCACCAGAGGAGCTCCTTTGCTTGTCTCATGTTTTCAATCCCACTTAAAAGCATGGAAGAGACTGAATAGTGGCTGGACCCACTGTCTTTGCAAGAGGACAGCAAGAGAAAAGCTTTCATCACCAGGACAGCAGGGAGAAGGCAGCTTCTTGCCACTACTGCCACCTGCCAGCATCACTCACCATGCCTGCCATCATCATATCCTGCTCAGCATCATCCTGCTTCCGTTTCAGCTCTTTTTCTGCATCCTGTAGTTGCTTCATCATGTCATCCACCTCCCTGGCCAGCCCCGTCACATCAGCGAAAGTCTTGTCAGCTTCGGCTTTGGTAGCAGCAGCGCTCTACAGCCAACAAAGGGAACAGGATGGAAAAAGCTGGTGAAGGTGCAGAACTTCTTTCAACCCTTTTCATCAAAACGCACCCGCCTCCTATCATGCCACATTTTGCCTTTCCTAATGGGGAAAACAGTAGAAAGCATGTGGGGCTCACCAGGAAATACTGGAACAGATGAGTTTACGCAGTTACACACCAATATCTCATGGCAGGTGGCTTCAGAACCACAGAGGACTCACCGTCTGAACAGAACTGGCAATTTTCTCTGCGTCATCTGCTTTAGTCTTGGCTTCACGGGCATCAGCAGCAGCATTGCCGAGTGCCAGCTCCGCCTGGCGCGTCTTGCTGTTGGCTTCAGCAATGGTCTGGGTGATGGCAGGAATCTTCTTCAGCGCCTCCTCTGCCGCTGTCTTGTTATCATTCACCCGCTTATCAAAATCTAAGAAAGGCCAAAATAGATTCTCATCACTTGCTCCAGAAGAGCCTTGGGTTGCTTCTTTGACCAAGCTACCCAAGCTTTGCCACCTTGACATTAGAGGGATGAAAGGCAAACTGGGGTGTGGGGGCTATATGCTTGCAGCTCTCCCTATCACACATCTTCTGACACCAAATAAGGAATTCAAACAAAAGGAGAATTCTAGTCACTGAAAACATTTGTATTTTTTTTCTTTAAAGAAAAAAAAAAAAAAGCCAAAAGCACGGCCCATTCAACCAAGATACCCTACTGCCAAGTGACTTGTCACACAGGAATTGAAGGATTCACTGCAAATGCTTTCTCCTTACCTTTCAGGTTGCTGAGAATGGTATTGGCCTCCTGCAGTGTGCCATTGCCCTTCCGAGCAGCTTCTTCAGCTAGGGCTTTCGCTGCATCTGCTCGAGCCAACAGCTGGTCTGCAGTCTAAGGAGACATGACATGTATCAACATAATCTTACCTTTTGAATAACAACCCTCTAGGTATACCAAAAAGCACTGCTGAGCCTGAAACACCAATACCATACAAAACAGCATTCATACCTGAGTAGCAATGCTTCCTCTGAAACTGGGTGAATTTAGGTACTTTTGGAACACAAAGGCAACACCACACCTGGCAAACATCCCCTATTCTCCCATATAGCCTCATTGCCATTGCTTTTACCAGATTTTTGCATCTCCTTTCCAGGACCATTCTTCAGTATTCTCGTAAGTAACTAGCAGCACTAGGGTAAGACTGAACAACACCAAATCTTTCACATCTGGCCAGTTACTTGTTTTCCTTTGTTTTTTCCAGGGAACAAAAGCCTCCAGGAAACAGAACTGACCTGCTGCTCCGTCTTCCCTTTCTCCAAGAGGTTCTTTACTTCTAGCTCCTTTCCTTTCATGTCTTCTCTCAAGTCCTCATAATCTTTCAGCTTCCTGGCAATTAGCTGATCTAACTCCTCTGCTTCCTTCTTGATCTTATTTGCTTCATTCTGCAGATGGAAATCAGAAACAAACGCAGCTTCCTGAACATTAAAGAATTTCTGAACAGGTAGCAAAACACAGTATAGCTTCTAACAGTCAAGCAGGCAGAAGCTATGATGGGTTCCTGTCTCTTACAACTACAGTTGGAACTTTGCCTTCAAAGCTCTGAACACCATAAGGGTCAGTGCAATGGAGGACACAGGTTGCGAACGATTTTGTGGGCAAGGAAATCTACTGCACTACAGTAAGCACAGGAGAAGGAGCAGGTCTGCAGGCTTCAGAGGGAACTGAAATTTTTGCACTTCTCTGTTCGAGCCAAGATGTTTGACAAACAACATTTCACTTGTCTTTTTTGTCCTTCAGAGACTGGGGGAGGTGAGGGTTTATGTGTGTAGTTTCCTGCATGCAAGTTTCCTACATAAAAGCTGAAATGCACAAGTCTGGATTATGCCTAAATGGACGAAAATTCCACAGACTGTTTTGCGCAGAGAAACATTAGGACAGTACATGCAAGGTATGTCACCAACCCAGCACGCTGCTATAATGTTTGTCCTCATTGATCTTCAGAAAATGCTGCACGTGATGCTTCCCGCACGTACCTCTAGCCCCGTGGAATCCACAGTAGGCAGACTGGTAAGATTAGCATAGATCTGCAGGGCTTTGTTTCCAGCTTCCTCTGCCTCTGCAAGCACCTTGTTGGCCTGTTTCTCTAGGTCTCGAGAAATGTTCCTTGCTTGATTATACCTAAGAAAACCCAAGGATCCAGTTACGTCGCTTTTTTTTTTTGTAGAACTGAACTTTTAACTAAGAGAGTATAGAGTATAAGAAACTGAAAGACAACTCCCAAAATACCCAAAGCATACAATGCTACAGAAGGCATCTTAGTTTTAAGCACTGCTCTGAAGCCAGGAAACAAAACCAAGTTTCCATTACTGACTCACTTCTGGTTGAGCTCATCAATGTCATTTGCAGTTTGGTTTTCTCCAGCCAGGGTCTTCAGCAGCAGTTGATACGCTTCTGTGGAAGTATCATTTGCTGCCTTGGCTATGCGAACAATCTCATCAGCTTCTTTTTTGTGTCTGGACAAGATTACAGAAGAAAAATAAAGCCATTACAATTGTCAGCCAGTGGTTTCTGTCCTCAATTCCAGATTTTATTCTCTCTTACTTTTCCTTCCTTCACCCAGATTTGTGTAAGGAAGATGCTGAAACATTTGCAATGGAAGATGCTGCTTGAGACCAAGGCATCCCTCCAGCAGTGCCCATGAGATCAGCTGAAAGGCACTGCTCCATTGTGCATGTCCCTCATTCATATGCCTAGTGTTTGCCCTCAATGATACACAGAGGTGCACCCACAATGCCACACCCTTATTTGGCAAAGCGTGTGTGTTTCGTATCCAACAAATTAAATCTTGCTTCCCCCTTGTAGGGAAGAGCACGGCCCTCATACGGCCTGCGAGAAGCGTGTTTTGCCACAGCCTACCTTTCAGCCAGCTTACGAGCCTCTTCTGCCAATAGAGTCATGTTGTTAGGGTCCCCGCTTGACTCTGGAGGTGTAATGGACTGGAAAAAAAGAAAAAAAATTCTTTAAGCTCTTTTTTCATCTTTTATTCATCTTTGCTTTAAATATTTATTCTCCTGATCTAAATGCTTAGCGCTGTGTCTAACCTACTTCTGACTTCTCTACATTCTTTTCTTAAGCCCATGCAGTTTCCATCACTGGTTATCCCTTAAAAACAAAGGCACAGCTATTTATTTAGGGGTTCTTACATTGGTTTCTTTGAGTGGCTAAGATACAATCTATGATAGATACTGGTGATCTTCCTTTATGTATTTCCAATGCTCTGGGGTAGGGAAGAAGGTATTTCCATAGCAAATCTGCTGTACGAGAGAACAAGCAGAGGAACATACCAGAGGACACAGAAAGGAAAGGCGCTTTCCTCTCCTAACCACGTGGGATCCTGGCAGCACACTCACCACGTTGTCAGCTGCCATCTTTGCCTTCTCAAGCATATCGGACGCTAAGCTGATCAGGTCCTCAGTATCCTCCACCCGCACCCGGGCTTGCTCTGCCAGGTTCTCTGTCTCCCGCACCGTGCCCTGGATGTTCCTCAGCCTGTTGAGCTGACTCACTAGTGTGCTGTTGATGTCTTTGAGACGATCCATGAGGCCCTGATCTACATCTGAAACACGCGATAGAAAAGAGAGGAAGCAAAATTAATCACAGCAGGAAGAGAAGCTGGAGCAGCAGCTTACCACTGCAGGCAACACGTTGGTAGGTTAATCCCCAGTTTCATAAGTCTGTCAGCTTGAGATCAAAGTCATCATCAGAATGTACACCAAATACGAGAAATGAAAAGTTATTAACTACTAAAAGACAATCCTGCTGGGTGTTGGAACCAACTCTGATACGGGATTTTGTGTTCAGAATCATGTTTCACCTCTATCATTGATTTAAAAAAGACAACGGAGCTGCTCCTTAAAAGGTATGAAACATCTGCTTTGTGAATTCTCTTTAGTTTAACTCCTAAGAAGGCAGGCAGAGATGGAGGAAGAGTGGGGCTGCATGTTATTCCTCACTTTGGGCAATAGTGGCTGCTCCCAAGCCAGAAGCAGTCTCCACAGAGAGCGGCTAGAAGATGTGTGGAATAGCAAACACACCCCAAACTCCCCTCCAAACCAAAGGGGTGACAAAAGCGACAGGGCAGAGCCTTGGTTCTCCAACTTGTAGGACCTATGCGCCCCCCAAACGTCCCCAAGTTTTTGGACCACGAAGTAACTCCCCACAACAGCATCTTAATAACGGAGCCATAAAAGCACTGATATGTGCCTCATGACCAGGGACAATTACTTTTGAAAAGGTGAGAGCTCTGTTAAGAAGTGCAAGCAGAAGCCTGCAGGCCTCCAAAATTAAGATTTTTCCCAAATATGTTGCCTTGACCTTGCAGCACATCTTAAGTACTGAACATGAATGTTTGACACACTTCAAAAGCTTACTACAAACTACATATCAAGTAGAAAAACACAAATAAGCGCTACAGGTGCACACAGATTTTTGCAAGGGTAGTTTTTGTTGCGTTTAGCTCACGTCTTAGGAAAGAGCAACGAAGCTAGTGAAGGGTCTAGAGCACAAGTCTTGTGAGGAGTAGCTGATGGAACTGGGGTTGTTTAGTCTGGAGAAAAGGAGGCTGAGGGGCGACTTTATCATTCTCTACAACTACCTGAAAGGAGGTTATAGTGAGGTGCGTGTTGGTCTCTTCTCCCAAGTAGCAAGTGATAGGACAAGAGGAAATGGCCGCAAGTTGTGCCAGGGGAGGTTCAGACTGGATATCAGGAAAGATTTCTTCACCAAAAGGGTAGTTAAGTAGTGGAACGGGCTGCCCAGGGAAGTGGTTGAGCCACCATCCCTGGAGGTATTTACAAGACGTGTAGATGTGATGCTTAGGGACATGGTTTAGCGGTGGACCTGGCAGTGTTAGCTTAACAGTCGGACTCGATGATCTTAAGGGTCTTTTCCAACTTAAATGATTCTATGGTTCTAAGTGGTGGAAAGAAACATGAAAAATACCACCACAAAACCAAATCCATTCCCTCACCTTTCTCCAGTCCCCACCCTCCTATCCCCCTACATGGGACTACTATCTACACATAGATGCCAAGCAGGTAGCATAAAGCTATCTCAGCTAAAACGGAGAAGAGCTTCAGCAATCATTCCCACTGGCAGGCATCTTCCCAAGCAAATGCAAGCATTAGATGTGTATCACCTTTTTCCCAGATGCATGCAAAGGCAACAGATTATTCCTAAGTGGTATGAAATCACTGAACCAATTCGCAGGGGAACATCTTTTACTGCAAAGTCAATAATATTCTCTGAGTTGCTCTTCTCCAAAACACACATCAACTTATACATTAAAAAGACCCTAAGGACAAACCACCATCACATTGCTTAATGTCCTGCTCACAGAGATCCTATGGTAGAGGTGACAGTACAAGAATCAATTTGAAACAGACTTTAACATGAAAAATAGCTACCACAACAGCACTTTTCAGAACGTTATACACTTTATGATGGGATAATTAAGATTGCCAGCAGAATTTTGAAGCCTTCATTCTGATTGCTGCTGATATCCCGACAAGAACTGCTTTATCCCAAGATGTCTGAGAAAATTCATAAACGTAAGTATATTGGAAAGTCTTCTGCTTGTTTAGTAAGCAAAAACCTCCTTTGCATCTGGAGAGGAGGGTAACACATAATACACTTGCATCTGTATGGAGCTAGAGGCCGATCTTTACTTTGCATGTACAACAGCGACTACTGAGAGAACAGCAGGGATAAAAGCACAGCCATGGTTGTTTTGACAGTAACACACTGTCTCAGCGCTATCTGAAATAGCTGTCTGTCCAAGCGCAGGCTTGAAATAAAACATGCTGCGTCCAAAGGGAACAGGAACATCAAGCAAAGAGCCTGTTTCACGTTGGTCCATGTCTGATCAGGTTAACTCACCTTTACTGTTTTGTGCTTCCTGGAGCAACTCCGTAACATCTCTTTCTGCCTGCTTCAACCTCTCTTCAAAGGCTTGATCGGTTACAGTTTCTTCTCCTGTACCCAGATTTGCTATAAGATTTTCCAGCTCCTGCAACCTCTCTCGTTGCTCTGCCACCTACATGAGACGGACAGAGCACAGCTATGACACAAAGCACCTTGAACCCCTCTGCTTTCAGCATGCATCAGCCAGCTGCACGTGCCACCATCTCCAGTAGTACCACCAGTGGCATTTGTGGCCTTACCTTATCTTTCACTAATCTGTAGCAGGCTGGACACTCTTGGCAGCCTGGCCACGAGCGGTTGTAGAAATAGTTCTCTTCACACTGGTCACAGCGGCTCCCCACAAAGCCTTCCTTGCACTCGCAGCGACCATTCTCCCGGCACTGCAGGGAGCGCGAACCCTCCGGATCACAGTCACAGGCTGTGGGGAAGTTAAACCTCAGTCAGACTGGAGGAGAGGCAGAAACACCCTAAAACCCACAGGGCGAGGGCATACCCTCAATATCTTAAAACATCTGCAAAAGTAACGCGGCACAAACCCACAGCTAGAGTCCTGCTCCTGATCGCGGTGCTCCCAGGCACAGCAGGGCACTCTGTCTAGCTGTACGCAACATTCATTGCATGTGTTCACAGTGTTGCTATTGCCTGCCCCACAAAGCATTATAATTTTCTAGCCCATTAATCAAGCAAAAGAGGCAGAAGGCCTGCTTGGATAAGCAAGAAGCTCCTGGAAACACTCAAAGGGAAGAAGGAAGTTTACAACATGTTGAAAAAGGCACTGGCCACTTGGGAGGAATATAGGAATGTTGTCAGAGTATGCAGGGATGCAATGAGGAAGGCTAAGGCCCATTTGGAATTAAGTCTGGCTAGAGACATCAAAGACAATAAGAAGGGATTCTTCAAATATACTGGTAGCAAAAGGAACACCAGAGAAAGTGTGGGCCCCCTCCTGAATGAAGCAGGTGCCCTGGTGACTGAGGATACAGAAAAGGCAGGGTTACTGAACCCGGCATTCTTCCTATTCCCAATTAAAAAAAAATAATAAAAGAAAAAGGGAATAAGCTATTGTACAGAGGGTAAATTTCACCATGCAGGGTCAGGACATAAAAGTATTAACTTCTGCTGTGATAAAGAGTGAGGTGACAAAGTACCTTCCCAGAAACAGGAGGAAAGCAAAGGCAAGGCTGGCTGTGCACCATCCTTCCCATCTGCCTCGCTCCAGCCACTCACTTACGTTTACAGCCTTTGGAGCCAAAGCCAAAGTGGTTGACCTCACATCTGTCACAACGCTGGCCAGCAACGCCAGGCTGGCACTCACACTGCCCGGTTCGGATGTCACACTGGCCGCTGGTGGAGCCCAGTGCGTGGCAGTTGCACCTGGGGGAGGCAGCCACACGTCAGGCAGTGACACAGAAAACAGGCACAGGTGAAGCACCCCCTGAAGGAGCCCTAACGAGCGCAGCTCAACATTTCCATTTGCCAAAAGTCACTTTTTTCGCTGTGCAGATGCAGGAGGCAAGGCACTGAGCCTTTGAACCGTGCAAGGTCACTTGGTGCCTGCACTAAAAAAGGAACCCACAAGCCCCTGCCACCAACAATCACAGAGTCACGTGGCACTTTTCTATTTAAAACCATGATTTAAAGCTATTTATAAAGCTATTTATGTCAGGCTTTTTGTACAGCCTTCATAGCTGCTCCTTGACTGCTGCTTTTCCCCACCCATAGCAGCATCAAGGCACACCAGTTACTTGTGACGAACATCACATTCCTGCACAAGGTAAGCACAGACCCCCCAAAACCAGGCTCTTTGCCCTGAGTCAAGGCGAACGTCACCTCTCACAGCCACGTCCACTCTGGAGGTTGAAGAAGCCAGGCTCACAGGCACTACAGTCCCTCCCGGTGACATGAGACAGGCACTCACACTGCCCAGTCACTTGATTGCAACTCGTCTGCTGATTCACAGTGCCATAGGGATTGCAGTGACAAGCTGCAAAAATAAAAGGGATGGAGAAATATGCAGAAAGTTAGAAGTCCCTTATAGTGTTGGTACTCTGCTAGCCGGTCCCTAAACGGGCCTGGATCCAAAATAAGCGGCAGCCCAGTCCCTGCATCAGACAATGCTTTTGCTTCGATGGCAGTAAGCACCCACAAACACAAGCATTTCAGCAAGCTACAGACACCAAACCAGGGTAAAGCCATGCATCGCTGCTGACGGGCACGAACAACAGCCTGACATTGTGTCCTAACAACATACCAGGAAACTGCAGCTCTCAGGGACAAAAGCATTTTTAAATGCAAGAGGAACCAGCTCTCACCTCTGCACTTGTCAGCGGGATCGGGGGCCAAGGGGTTCCCGAAGAAGCCGTCTTTGCAGCGGTCACAATAGAAGCCAGCCGTGTTGTAGATGCACTTGAGGCACTCGCCCGTCTGGCGGTCACAGTTCCCCACAGCATTGGGATCGATGTTGTCATTGCACTGGCAGAGGCGGCAAGGCCTCACAGCACCATTTTCACCCAGCGGGTCTCCAAAATAGGCATCATCACACAGCTCACACCTCTTACCTAGGACGTGACAAAAACACATGTTGCAGCAGAGAGACCTTTGCTGCCATCTCACCCGGACCCCCTTTGCAGCCCCTTCTGAAAGCAAACTCTCCAGCTTCCTCTCCTTTCATCCTTCTGTTGAGGCCAGAAAGGTGCACGAAATCACACACAAATCCCTCCCCATCTCCACACTTAAGCTGCTTTTTCACTGGAACTTTGCATTATCAATTAGTTCAGCCCTCCTTTCACTCCTGCCCCTTTAAGCCAAACCTATTTGTTGTGATTTGTTGTTAATTTAGGAGTCCAAGCAGGTAGAGGTCCATGGGGCACCACTGCTCCAGGAAGCCCCACTGCCAGTGAGATCTGCCAAACCTCTGCAGGCAGCCACTGAAGCATCCAACTCAGCAACTCCCTAGGCTTCCTGCAGATTTGACCCCGCCAGCCAGCTACAAGCTCTGTTTATTACACAGTTCTTCCATGTGCAAACCCCCTTTTCCCCTCACCTTTCCCCTCACAACCCAAGAATGCATCAGGAGACAGGAGGAAATCTTATGTGATCACAAAGCTCATCAAAAAGATGAGCTTGTACTGACATCTGAGCTGCAGGGAACCTGGACCCCTGGACTCTGCTTTTGTTCACAAAGCAGTAACACCCATAGGTACCCCCACGAGCTGCCTCTGTGCTTGGTCAGGAGCTTTTCTAAGCATTTCAAGCATTTACAAGTATTCTGTACTTTGGACTCTGCCATGCCAAGCATAAAATCAGTAGAAAGGCACGGAGGCTGCCAACCATACTAAGGCTTCCTTGCTGTTTGCAGGCAGAACAAAAGGCTCTGCTTAACAACTCATGTAGATGCTCGGACTTCACGGTTTATTGCTAAGAAATAAAGATCTGTACCCATTCACGTATTTCTTAAAACTGCTGAGCATAAATCTGGTCTTGTATTTTTTGGGCAGTGTTTATGAGTCACTGCAGCTTTCCTGCTTTTCCTAGTGAGGGCACTGGCCCTCCCCTGCAAGCATCCTGTAGTGCCCCTCCAGCTGGCAAACTGCATCTTCTAATTTTATTTCAGCCTGACCCGCCCTCCTGGCTCTTTTAAATCTATCCTATTTTCTGCCAAATACCATGCCACTAACAGAGCTCTATTAGAAGCTAGCTCACCTACACAGCACAGAAGTGTTCAGACTTTGCACAGATCAAGCCTGAAGATACCCTTTTGTTCTCGAGAGACAGGCACAAAGAACATGGGTAGCCCTGAGCCTCACACAGAGCAGAAAGTAATGCTAAGGAAGGGAGAAGGATTTAAGCCAGAAGACACAGCAGCTTTCAGTGCTACCCACTGCAGGTCAGAGCCCCAGAACTGACAGGAGACAATTTCCACAGGCACATGGGGTTTAGAAAAAAGGACTGTTCATGTGTGAACACACCTGTAGTGCCAGCCTGGCAGCTGGTGCATACAACCTCCTTGGTGCGGGGCACGATGGCACAGCTCGAGCTGCCTGGGCACGGGCAGGGCTGGCAGTCTGAGGTAGTGCCCGCCGTCGCGTCTCCGTAATACCCATCACTGCACTTCTCACAGTGAGACCCTGCTGTGTTATCCCTGCAATTGCACACACCTGGAACAGAGAGGGACATGGGTTTCGCTTCATCATCCAACCCAGAAAGAACTGTCCTCTTGCTGCCTCTCCCTGCACCACTTACCTGTCTCTGGCTCGCC